CCAAGAGCTAAGAAATAATAATAAATAATTCATGCGATATTCGTCATCCAATAATATCCGATATATTTCGATCGATGTTGTGAGAGCCAACTTATTAAAAAATATATATATATATATAAATAATAGATAGATGTAACAGATTATTAAATCCCTTCCGGCAAAATTCGGACGAAATAACGTTCCGGTTAACCTTCGAACACGTAAACGCGCGTGATCCCGGTCGCGACTGTTATACGCGGCCCGAGATACCAGCGTCGGAGAATTATTATCGGTCGGCAAAATGGAAGAGAGCGGGGCGCGCGGAGAGAAGAAGCGGGAGATTCCGTGTAGAGCGGAGTTCGAGTAATCACGGACCATCACCGATCCATTCACCGCCGGTCGAGATCGGTTGCGTTAACATTAACGGTTAATGCGACCCAGTGATCGCCGCGACGAGGAGGACATCGAGGAGCGGCAATTATCGCGTGCGCTACGTCCGAGGGCCGCGTATTACGCGTGCTCGAGCTTGCACCGCCCCCCTCCCCCACGCCCCGACCGCGTGAATGCATTCGCGAGTAGTACGTGTACGTGTTTATGTAAATAAGACCCGTACGTACACACGGCCAGATAAGAGAGGTATCGTGAATGGAGGAAAGTGGCGGCGATACCGGACGGTATGCCAGACGGACGAGTTCTCGTTCTCTAGGGGGGAGAGGGAGGGAGTGGAGGGAGAGAGGCGACATCGCGTTACGAAATTCCGATGCTCCGCCGCCACCATCAGGTGCCGTCAACCCGCACCTCTTTTATATGAATATATCCGTCAGCTGTTCTCAAGCCGGTATCGATCGAGCCAAACAAGTAACTTTCCTCCTTGCTAATGGGTGAAAATCAATTTGATTCGCGGAGAGAGATCGTCGACACGCGGAGGAAGAAGTAGGTTCATTGTGGCGGACCAGAGAAGAGAATTTACGATTACTTGTATCGTGGTTATGTACGTGGCGATGAAGCGTACTACATATGTTCTTCCCGTAAAGGATGGAAAGCCCGGCATATATCCGGGACGCGAGGTTGATCCGCGATAAAACTTACGTGGAAACTGTTTCGGTCGGATATCGGTGCGCCGCGTTAGTACGTTACATTCCATACGCGTTCTCCTTTACGATCGAACGATCGAATCGGATGTGCTGCGCGATATTCGCGCAATGGAAGGGAAACGAGCCGAGCTCGAGAGAGGAGTTTCGTTCGATCATCTTTGTTGAAATTCAGGATAGTACGGTCGAACGAATTCTAAAAGCGGCTCGGCGTGTCGAGGCTCGAATCGTTTACCGCACAGCCGACAGCTGTCGCGAATCATCATTATCCTCGTTCGACCTGGCTACGGAATAACCGTAGGGGAGGGGAGAGAGGGAGGGAGCGAAGGGAGGGGAGGGGAGGGAAATAACAAAGAAACTGGGTTAACGCTACTACGACCACGTAGCGTGCTCCGTTTCCACTCCGTGTCCGCGTCCCATTAATCCGTTTCTCTACGAAACGGACTTCTTTTTTTCCCCCTTCATCTCTCTCGGCCTCGGATGAGTCGAGAAATATCGAGAATAACAAGAGAGAATTCTCGCCCCCGAATCGTAGCCCCCAAACGGAATAACGAACGAACGAACGAACGAACGAACGAACGAGTGAATCGCGTACGACGACGCGGAGACTCTGGCCATCGTCGAATAGTTTTCAATAGAGGATCGTATAGCGAGAGCGAGGATACCGCGTCGAGCGAACGTAACACCGTGGCGGATAATGGATAATGGCACGAATCCATCGGTTTTCGTGCGGGAGAGTGCGCCACGCGCGCGCCCCGTTCCGAATCGTCCGCTGTAAATGATACGCGCACGCATCCGTTCCGCGCAACCCTTCCCCTCGCTGCCCCGATTACGCTTTCGACCCAGTGTTCGCGACGCTTGATGCGTGAAGCATCATAGAATATCCTCGTTCGGCCGGCCAGAAACCGATAACCGTTCGCGATACACGCGCGATTCCGTGGCTATCGATGACCACCGATCGATATTCACCGTTTGCCGCGCGTGAAATTCGTCGCCCGCGGTTTACAGCGTTATTTCAACAGTTGAAGTTGATGTTGATGTTGAGCGAAGAGATCGGACTCGAATTTTCGTCGTTCGTTTCTTCTTCGTGCGAAGGGAAGGGGGAGAGGATCGCGTTACCAGTCTCGCTTGGACAAAGTAGACGAAGCGACGACGGGGTATCGACGGGGCACGGAGGAGAAATTACATACACCGGCAAACGAATGCAAAGTTATGTCGGGCGCGATCCGAATGCCGCGGCAGGCCAGCAAGGAGGTTGAATGCCCCCGTACAACGTACGGATTAGCGCTCGGTACCAACGTGATCGTATGCCTGGTGAATATTTCATGAAGCGCGGAAAAAAGAGATGACACCTGTTCGAAAACCGTTAGCGTACTCCTTTTGCCCGCCAACGACGGGGCGGCGATGGGCAAACGGACGCTCGCCGACTTATTTCGATGCAAATTTTAAAAAAGGACGCGAGCCGCGGCTAAGTTGGGTCCGCCTCGATCGTGCATGCCCTTGATGAGATCGCAACGTTTCGACGTCAACCCACACACGTGGCCTCCGCGATCTAAGCGCGCCGCTCGAACCGGTCGATTTAACGTTATACAAATAACGAAAACAGGAGGGTTTCTCTTCTGACGAAAGTTTCGACGAGGATGTTAAAGATTTACAGGCGACTACGACTTTTATCGGCTGTTTTTAAACCATTTATTCAGATCCGGTTTTCACCGGTTCCGTTCCCACTTTTTTTTCCCCCGCGTATTCACTTCGTACCCGAACGTCTCGCCATTCTTCTACAATCTTTACACCTTGGATACGATCAAACTCGATTCGATCCTAGGTTTCGAAGAAGCTAAGCTTTGGAATTTTTATTATCTTAATTCCGTTCGAGTTAAAAAAAGATAGAACTTTTAATTTTAGATCTAAGTTTCGTCGAATAGGTAATCGCGCGGAGGAGGAAAGGAAACGCGTTGGCGTGGCGTTCGTTCAAAATGTTCGGAACGGAGAGGAAGTTCTGGAAGGGAGCCGATCCAGTAATTAGGATGGTACAAAATCGATAATCGGCGTGTCTTCGAAACGAATTTTTCGGGTGTAGCAGCGTGCAGGTGTAGCCAGGTGTACGGGGTCCTTCTTTAGCATGTTATGCACGCGCGTATACTCGAGAGCCGGTCCGTGTGGACCCGAATCGGTCACCCTAGTCGACCCTCCTTTGCAGGGATCGCATAATAGCCGCGGCGAAACATCGATTCTTCGAGAATCCGGATTATTTCGCGATTAACAAGATCGTAACAGATCCCGCTCTCTAGAATATCGTTAATTCCTAATCGCCAATTATACCACCCAACTTCTCCTTCTTTCCTTCTCCCCCCCCCACCTTTTCAAATATTCTCTCTATTCGAAATTCGAATTTCGTTCCATCCATGAACGTTACTCGCACGCGGTAAATTAAGTTATCCGATTTCGCGGCCGTTCTTAATCTTTTCGTCTCTCGAGGAAGGAAGGAAGGAAGGTAATCAGACGACGTATTCGTCAACGGAAGCGAGTAGTGGCGACGGTAGTACGAGTGTTGGTTGGAATGCGCTAACTCGGTGCTCCGCGAAGCGGTTTGATCCTCGACGACTCGAGGAGGAAGAATGAGAGACGGATACGAAATAAGGAAGAAGAAGAAAAAGAAGAGAGAAAAGAGAGAGAGAGAGAGAAGAGGGAGAGAAGAGGAGAGTGGAAGAGAGGCCCGCGGGAATGGTGGCTCGGTGCGTTCGCGATTGAAGATGGCAAATGGGCGAGAGAAAGAGGGTACGAGAGGGAGCGAGGAAGAGAGAGGATCTGTGTGGAAGCACGTGGAGATTCGAGGCACATTGCGCCCAGACCAGCGGCACGAAAATTTGGTGAGGGCCTCCTTGCCTGCGGACCGACCACATTCCCTCCCCACCCGATTTCCTCGTACGAGAACCTTATCCGCCTGCCTGTTTCGCCGTGGTCCACTCTATCCGCGCGCGCGTTTATATCGACAGCCCCGGATCATCGGCCCCGGCTCGCATTAACTGTCCCAACGACCAAAGCGGCCCTCCGCCTTCAATGGGGGAACCCCCGGTTTCGTTTCCAACCCGAGAAAAAAACGAGCCATGCCCCGTATTCGTTCCACGAGAATTACACGAATTGGGAGAAAGAGAGAAAGAGGAGAAAGAGAGAGAAGAGAGAAGAAAGAGAAACGCTATTATTATCATCAATATTATTATTATTATTATTATTATTATTAATAATAGTAGTATTATTAGGAATAAAGCTCACCTAGGGATCGCGGAGTGCGCGTGGAGTCGCCACGTGTTAGCTGCAGCTTAGCGGCTCCTCGTGCCGCATCCCGGCAGCCGCTTTATCGCCTTATCAACCCCGCTTTCTCTTCCTCTCGAGCTTTTTAAGCCTTTCCTCAAAGAAGCCTTGCCCTTCTCGTTCCTCCCCGTGTCCGTGCCACTGTCCCTTAGATCCCGCGTCGAAAAATGCACCTGTGCGATCTATGGAGCGCAGGTTTATCGCCGGCACCCCTCCTCTCTTCCCCCTCCCTCCCCCCCCCCGGATTGATTCGATCCTTCCCCCCCGGGGACGAAACGCGGAAACGGAAGATTCCGTCGTCACTCAAAAAGCACTCAAAACAAAAAAAGAAAAAAAAAAAGAATAAATTGTTCACCCGATAGATACCGCCGCGGACAGATCTGCACGGCGATTAATTATTAATTACACGGATCGGATCGCTCGACAATCGCTACCAACGATCATCGTCATCGCTGGAAGACCGGCACACCGCGATTGTTCGTTCGTTCGTTCGATCGAGGGGGATCGACGCGAAAAGTCCGTGAAAAGTATCGATCGCACAGGAAGGGAAGAAAGAAAGAAAGAAGAAAAGAAGAGAGAGAGAGAGAGAGAGAGAGAGAGAGA